TGGGGCGGGAGGAGCGAGGGGCGGTGGCGAGGGGCGCGAAAAGACATCGCAGAGCGGTCTGGGGTACCGTCCTTGGGAGCACGAGTTGGAAGACGGCTTTGGGCCGAGAGCTGTGCATCCGGTCAATCCAGGAGCGACGCGATAGGAAAGAAAACAGCGCGTGTAGGCGATCGACAGCTTCATGCTGTGATATTAGGGATTTAGGGCCCCTGACAGTGCAGGGTGAGGGCTTGGACTCGATGATCTTGGGGGTCTCTTCCAACCAAATGATTCTATGATTAGTTTTTCCGAGAGAGTGTCTCTACAATATATATGTTCAATGGGAAAAAAAAATCGACTAATGCATTTAGAGGACAAAGATCTGTGTTTAAAAGCTGTTATGGCTCAGTGAAAAAAGAATGTTCTGTTCCACAGTAAATTTTAGAGTTATTTTAAAATGTTCGTACATGGTATTCGGGGTTCATGCACTTAAACAGAAATCTTTCCTTTGTCTCTTTAATCTTACACAGATTTTGGGTACTACAGCTGGCTCAGATAGAGTCACTTCTTTAGAGGAGACCTGAGCTAGCACATAACTTGATTTGTCTAGCAGTGACACAATAGAACTTCCCTGTTGTTTAAATGATACAAAGCTTTGGAGTAAAGGTCTAGATAAGACACAGAACAATGTTTTGGTTAAGTAGAGAGCCAGCAGCAGGAAAGGTTTGGAATAAGCATGGATTTAGAAGTAGCAGGGCTTTTTAGATAGCAAAGAATCTTTCAGAATGGAAACTGTAATGTGCAAGGCTTCACAAAGATAAGATTAAGGGAAAAATATGCTTGAAGTAAAGGGGGAGAAGCAGCGGAATGTGTTGTGGGAAAGCATTCACATAATAAACAGGGGAGATCTTTAACTAATACCTATTTCTGAGGTATTGGGTACAAACATCATATCCCTTTGAACCAACAAATTCATTCTGAATGTTGCATTTGCATAACTTTCTAAAAAAAATCCGTAGCTTTATCTTTACACATGCCACTCTCATTGCTGGAAAGGATAGTAGTAGTAGAAAGTGTAAAGGAACGTGATTGAGGGATTCTGTGAAGAACCAAATGAATTATGTTAGCTGTAGCCAGCAGAAACTGCCAGTGTGTAAGAACCGTTGATGTTTTAAAAGTAGAAATGTGATTTAAATTATATTTCTCAAATATTACAAACCAATTGGTTGCGGTGGTATAGATTTCCTCTGGAAAAGGAGCTGATGGATTCTGACTGGTGCTCTAACCACGCTATCAAAAGGATCCAGCTTTTTGTCACAACATCCATGCAGCTTTGCTATGATGAAAGAAATTAAAATTCTTGTGTTGCATGATGAATCAATCAGATTAAGTTTAAATCACACGTTGTCACTTCCAGGTTTTGCTGCCACACTCATTAGAAAGTCATATGATGTCAGACGAGTTGAAATCACGCCCCTGGAGCAGAGGAAGGTAACTTTTGATACCCATGCTTTAGTGCAGGATCTCGAAGCCCATGGTAAGTCATATCTGATAAAATAATTCAAAGGGAAACTTGAAGTACTGAAACTTTGAGTGCTATCGGTTTTCCTGAAGTACCAGTACTTTGTGATATAAAATGTTTTGGCAGCCTCTCGAGGAGGCTGATGAAGGAGAGGCACCTGACACTGTTTGATGCCTCTGTAACCACACAAATAACTATGATGTTAGATTTCATGGAATCATAGAATGGTTTGGGTTGGAAGGGACCTCAAAGATCATCTAGTTCCAACCCCCCTGCCATGGGCAGGGCCACCCTGCACTACACCAGGTTGCTCAAAGCCTCATCCAACCTGGCCTTGAACACCTCCAGGGATGGGGCATCTACAGCTTCTCTGGGCAACCTGTTCCAGTGCCTCACCACCCTCAGAGTGAAGAATTTCTTCCTTAGACCTAATCTAAATCTTCCCTCTCACAGCTTAAATCTGTTGCCCCTTGTCCTGTTGCCTTATTTGTCGCTGTAGGCAAGTTTCTGTAGTCTTCCAGCCGAGGAAGATGATACAGTTAACAAGTGTAGAGTAAGAATAACAGTTAAAGAACTGTTTTCTAGCAAAAAGAGAAGCTTTAATAGAAGTTCCTTCTATTGGCCTGCCAACAGTAATTTAAGGTTTTTTTCTGACTAGAAGTATTTGCAGCAGCGCAGTGCCGTGATACGTTCTCAATACCTGCACTTCTGCTTTGTACGAAAGGTCCGTCTGGCCCTGTCTTCTGACAGCAGCTGTGGGTCAGTGCCTGCTGCACAGAGGAGTGTCACAAGGGGCAGATGTATGTGACACGTCCTCTTGTACTTTCTAAGCCTCCAGTGCTTTTCCCCCTGGAGGTATTTTGGGTCAGCTACAAGTTTTAGTAGCCTTCAGTGGAATTCTTTTCACAAGATTATTCAGTCCCTGAACTGCCATAAACCACTTAGTACCCAAAACATCCTTTCTCATTGATTTTCACACATCCATTCCTTTCGTTTATGTGGAATCTGGCTTCTGTAAGGTTAACTTGATGCCCGCTCAGCTCTCTTGTGGGAAGAGGGAATGAACGTTCCCTCGTGTCACTCATGATTATGTAAACTTCTGTCATATTCCCCCATCGTTCTTCTCAAACAGAAGAATCTTAGCTTGTTGAATTTTTCCTTCAGCAGTAGCTTTTCCATACTTCTGATCATTCATGATGCCTTTCTGTGAATCTTTTCCACGTCTCTCACATCCTGTTTCAAAGGGGAGGAAACAGAGCTGCCGGCACAGTTTGACAACTGAACATGGCATGGGTTTGAACAGTGACATAATGTCGCATCTGTTTTGTTCTCTCCTCCTTTTCTGAATAATTCCAAAGGGTTTGGTTCACTTTATTGATCCCTACTAAGCATTGAGCTGCTATCTTCATCAGACTAGCAACTGCCTTTTGAAATCCGGAGATCTGTCTCCTAAGTGACAGTTGGAACTTTATCCAAACTGAGGTTAGGATGTTTTTCACTATTTGGGTCTAATAATAATATGTATTAGTGGTTAGAAGACTCCTAATAGTGCATTAACAAGGTGGAGTTTTTTCATGCATGCCAGACTTGCCAGCCTGTAGTTCCCTACGTCTCTTCTGGAACTGTTTTTAAAAACTGACACTGCATTTGCCATTTTTCAGTCCTCAGGTAACCTAGGTAGGCTGTGAGATGTTGCTTTTCCTCAGAGCTAGTTCAGCAACTTCTTCTCCAAGTTCCTTTAGAAGCCTGGTGCTCACACACTATGGTGTTGCTCAGTTTAGTTTGTTCCATAACTTCTACAAATACTTCAGTCCTACAGGGACAGGGCTCTGTAGGTAAAACCTTCACATACCACAGAAGTGAGAGACATTTAGTTTTTCTCAGACTTGCTGCAGGCTGTTTTCAGGCTCCATTCTCTTGCTTATATGAATTTCTCCACATTTTCTACACTTCCATGCAACAAGAATGGTTCCTGCTGTAGAGGAAGAAGAAAATAACGGATTGGCAAAAACCTACGTAACCCTGAGAATTCAGCGGAACTGAAGCGATGCTGTCACACCTCGTCGTGGCAGGAAGCTGTTGTAAAGCATGCATAGCTTTGTAGTAATGTAAACCAGCGGGGCACCTTGAGAGTAGTGGTATTTTAGAAGGGAGCAGCGGCGTATTTCTCTTTGCCCTGAAAGCATTTTTCAACAAAAAAATTAATTGATCTCACTTTATAAAATGGGTCAACTGAAATAGAACACATCAGTGAGACTGCTGGAAATAAATCTTTAGGGCTAAAGCTCTCAGCACTAGATGTGGCTAATATGACAGCTGTTTGTTTGGGTTTTTTCCCCCCACTATTGATAATGCATCATCTTTAACACTTCAGAATTGCACCAAGCTATGGACAAAGTGTAATTGTTATTACCAGGAAGCAAAAATCTTAGTTTGAATTCATTCTGCAGGCAATGCATGCAGCAGATTTAAAATCAGTTTTGCATGTGTTTGTACCTGTGCACAACAATTTCAATGTGTGCAGACTTGCCTTCTAAATTTATTATTTTTTGGGATGCGTGCTTTGTAGCTCAAGGTAAGTTTGGTTTTAACAGAATTCGGGAAAGTTCCTTATAAAGTAAAACTTTGCTGAATTATTTTTACAATATATGAAAAGTTAAACATTGCACCGAAATTGTGTCCTCCTGGCAGCTGCGTGTGTGGAGTACTTCAGTATATTAAAAGTTAACGTGCTTCAGGTTTTTGCAGCATTAAGTCTGTGTTTTTGCTGATTAAATCACACTTACTGGCTCCTCGCTGTCAGTTTTCAATAATTATGTGACTTCCCATTTGCCACTGTAGTTAGGTACAGCACTGGAGTGTCCCAGTTTATTACGTACCTCTCGCTTTGCTCTTCATCCAGCTTTTTCTAATGTTACCCAAACTTGTTATCCTTCAAATGTCTTCTAGGCTTTGGGAAGGAGCAAGCGGAGACCATCGTATCGGCGTTAATAACCCTGTCGAATGTCAGCTTAGACACAGTCTATAAGGATATGGTTACACAGGCTCAGCAGGTAAAAAGTCATCTGTGGTGTTACGTACACATGTTGTGTAACTGTAGAATCATAGAATGGTTTGGGTTGGAAAGGACCTCAAAGATCATCTAGTTCCAGCCCCCCTGCCATGGGCAGGGAAACCTTCCACTACACCAGGTTGCCCAAAGCCTCATCCAACCTGGCCTTGAACACTTCCAGAAATGGGGCATCCACAACTTCTCTGGGCAACCTGTTCCAGTGCCTCACTACCCTCAGAGTGAAAAATTTCTTGCACGTTTAAAAGACAAGAGAGCAACTCTATAACTATAAACATTTTACCGAGATAATTTTTCCTAAGTTTCAAGGTGAGATTAAGAACAGTAATGTCTTAAACCTTCCATCTCACAGGAGTGTTTTCCAAAAGCAGCCACAATGTCTAAGCGTAATGCAGAGAATGAGGTCAAACCACAATTTTAACTGTGCTTTACAACCGTTAAGGGCAGCAGAGAGATTCAAGGAGGGGTTCCTGAGAAAACAAAACCACCTAAAATACAGAAAATTGTCAGGTTTGGAACGTTAGTAAAGATGTCAGCTTTGTCCACAGATACCCGGTATTTGTCCTATTTGCTTGTTCCTAAACTGAAAACTAGTATTAAAACTATGTCACGATTTTACTTCTGCTTTTCAGTCCTTAAAGCTACATCTGTAGTTGGAGCTAAACGTGGCTGGGGCATGGGCACGAACACCACCACACAGTTGTCTAGAGCATCCAACGGTTGCTGTGGCACCTTGACCTGATTTTGCCCCGTGCCAGCTCTCAGTCTCCCTGGCCTGGGCACAATTTATGTGAAGGTCCAGGGCCAGGAACTGTTCCTGCCAGGTGGAGTGGACAGAGCCACCTTGATTTAGGAGGAGGAGTTTTTAGCCACCTGGACATGTTCCGTGGCATGTCACTTGCCCTGAGGGACAGCAAGTGGGCTCTGAATTATTTAGTTGTTGTTATCAGCCTCGATGCTTGCGCTGGTCTGGTGAACACCTCAGCCTGCGCTCAAGCACCGTGTCCAGGCATCTCCTCCGCTCGGATAACTCCAGTTATTGTGTTGGTGGGCACACCTGGAGGCAGTGAGTCAGTGAAGCAGCGTGGCTGATGTCTCTGTTGGTAATAGAAGTGGTGACAAGTTTTGCTGTAACAAATTGCCAAAATAGAAAGAACTTCAGTTTTTCTTGTAGGCTGGACGTGTGGGCCAGGATGATAAGGGTGGGATGCACAGTCATGGTTTTCATAACTACTCAGGAAGGCTGTGCAAGCTGGAATGAGGTGCTGTTCTTCTTCAGCGAATTAACGGAGTTAAGCATTCATCAGGACTTTGTTTAAACTGCTGAGCCTTACTTCTAACAAATTTTCATCTTACTGGCATTTATTCTTAATAAAAGTTATCCAGCTTTTTTTCCTATAAATCTCAGAAGAAGACAAGAACTTGTGTCTCTATTTTTTTTTCATCAAAATGGAAACCTTTCTTTTTGAAAATCCTGTTATTGCATGTAAAGAAAGTCAGTATCCCGAACAGAATTTGCACGAAATCGGGTTAGACAGAAACACTGGGTCTTGTCATGTGGTCAGTGTTGAGACTGAATGTTTTAAGATGGGGTGAGGCAAATTAGCTCCTCAGTGTAAACGCTTTCCCAGGAATTGTGAAAAATTCCTTGTGTTCAACAGGGCAGTCAGACGTGAGGGGAAGTTGGGTCAGGGCATGTTTTAACCAATTCAGTTCAACATTGGATCTGAGAAACACTGTTTGCTGGTAATCTGAGGGAGAGCTCTGCGTTTTGCTGGCTCTCGGCTGCAAAAGCAGAATCTCACAGAGACGGATCATCTTCCGAGCTGAGCAGGAGGGTGACTTCCTTGTGCTAGCTAAAAGAGTGTTGCTTTCAAGATTCTAAAATACAAAGTTTCTTCCTTTTTTTTTTTAACACTCTGTAGTTTGTAAATAGCAGTTGAATTGTGAACTTGTTAGTCAAAACACCAGGAAGACTTTTTTCACATTTTACTAGTGTGTCTCACACTAACGCCGAGAGGATGGTGTGATATTCATGTCATTAAGTCTTTGGCTTTTGATAACTTTGTGGGCAAGAGACAGAGGTGCTTATTCAGGAACTGGATTCAAACCAACAATTAATGCTTCGTTGGCTACCAAGCGTTCATTGGAAGTGGAAGTGAATGAAGGACTAATCTCTAGTTTATTTCATAGCATAGTTTATTTACTGTAGTTATTTCGCAGCTGCTTGCACTAATACCTCTGGCTTTTCCGCTCATATTCACAGTTAGTGTAGTAAAGCAATAGAAAAAAAGAAAAAAAAAAAAAAACAAAACCAAAACCTCTTGAGTCTTTCCAACAAATTGCAGCTATAAAATCCTGTGTTTCTGTCGCTTTCTTGCTGGAGAGTCTCCCCGTTTTTGTGCTTTGCAGTACCTAATTTCATAATTTCAGACCTAAAAAATCTTTACTTTCCTTTACGTGCCAGAAAGCGCGCACCTTAACGGACGGTATGTTTTCTTGTTTCTAAGGAAATAACTTTACAGCAGATAATGGCACATCTGGACTCCATTCGAAAAGACATGGTCATCTTGGAGAAAAGCGAATTTGCAAACTTGAGGGCAGAGAATGAGGTACTAATATTTTTAATTAAGCAGTTAAATTGTAATGTAGCTTGCTTTATACGTGTTGTATGTTTTTGTGGAACAAAATATGAATGTAAAAGTAACTACGGATACTTTCACCAGAGCTGAAGTGTTTGCAAGTTACAGCTTCTGTGATCACAAAAACATATTTCATGTGATAGGACTTGCTCAGTTCTGTAAAGAAAAAAAAAATCTGCACATCTTAGAGTAGTCTCCTGTATTTTTATTTAAATGTGGTTCTAGTAGAGCCTTGTCACCATTAACCAGACAGTGCAGGGAGAGTAGTCAGCTGTGTGATCGCAGCAATTTAATTAAACTGGTGATTGCCACACGTTTCACTTCGGCTTGGCAGCATTTTGGTGGTTTTCTGCTGCCTTTAGTCTCAGAATAACAAGGTCATCATCGTTGCAAAATAATCCCTTTCTTCTGAGCAAAATTCCCAGCAGATGTGTATGGCTGTATAAATTGAACACACCAGCCAGGATATTTAATCAGGAACAAATTGCCCCATTGGGAGAAAAATTATGGAAGAATAATTGCGTGTGTGTGGTGGTGACGCTTACATGACTGATTAATTTGGTCAGGAGTTTTCTGAATTTGTAAAAGCGTTTTTTGGGGTTTTTTTCTCCTCTGCACCCAGAAAATGAAAGTTGAATTGGATCAAGTGAAACAGCAGCTAATGGTAAGTAAACAGCAAGTACCTACGCGCCCCTACTAGGGAGAGTAAATCGTTATTTTCATAATCCTTTTTTGCTTTGGAGAATGAGACCGGTAAAATCCGAGCCGACAGCAAGCTGGACATAAACCTGGAAAGGAGCAGAGTGACGGATATGGTAAGCTGCTCGATGAAGGCACCTTCATCAGTTCTGTGTCTTGTTTTCCTTTACTGCAATTGTGAATTATTGTTTATCCACAGTTCACAGATCAGGAGAGGAAACTGATGGAAGCAACTACGGAGTTTCATAAGAAAGTGAGTATCCAGCAAATATTTCACAGGCTGGAAGTCCTCAAGGTTGCTCGCAGGCACTGGAGTCTAAGAGGCCAAAGATGGGCATGTCCCATCTTCAGTGTCTCCTCCCTTAGAATCATAGAATGGTTTGAGTTGGAAGAGACCTCAAAGATCATCTAGTTCCAACCCCCTTGCCATGGGCAGGGAAACCCTCCACTACACCAGGTTGCCCAAAGCCTCATCCAACCTGGCCTTGAACACTTTGTTTTGCAAGAATTTTAGGATACTATCTGCGTGCTGCACAGTGCCTCCTTCAGGAGGCGCTGGCGTGTCAGAGACAGAAATCTGTGTGATCCGAGTTTTCTCTTTTTCTGTCTCCCTCTTCAATATTCTTCCTGGATTGTAGTGAATGCTGTTCTGTGTCTTTGGAAGTATCTTACCAGTTACAGGTTTTACTTCAGTGATAGGCTGGGCGTTTGTTTCTCTTTCTCGTTGCTGGTAGCGTGGTGTTCTTGTTTGGCTTTGCAAAGCTGGAAGGACTAAAGATCTTTGTCACATGTATGCCATCTTTTAACGTTTCAGGATTCGAGTACCAACAGCGTCATCTCTGAAATCAGTAATAAAATTGACACCGAAATAGCTTCCTTAAAAACGCTCATGGAATCCAATAAACTTGATACGATCCGTTATTTGGCAGGTATGTAATAGGCAAGGAGGTGAGTACCAGTATTGTATTTTGGATGTGTAAGTATTTTTTTTTAATTCAAGAATATATGCAAAGTGAACTCAAGAAGTCAGTTGTGTAACAGCAGATAGCTGGGACTCGGGGGCCAGGATCCTCCCCAGTTGAAAGAAATGTGACGGAGAACACAGACAAGGTGGGAACATGTGGACACTGCTGCAGTTGGACTAGGATTGCACCCAGAACTGGGATTAGGAGGAACATGGATATGACTTTTTAATTATTTTTTAAAGAGTAGGAAAGAAGCCTAAATACCTTGTCTAGTCTGACAACAGCTCTGCTTGCTGCAGGGCAGCCATTTATGTGGCAGAGTTGCTCCTACAGTTCTCCTGAGCTTATTTATGTCACCCTGAAAGGTTGCTGATGTTTGGGACTAGTCTGAGAGCGACCAGTTCTGCCTCCCACTCAGTCCCCCACAGACACATGGTTTGTGTGGCAGTTCTGGTACTCTCCCCTGCCAAGCAGAACAAACTTCAGTCTGATTTGAGATTGTCTGCTCAATATCTACATAAGCAGTGGAATTCTTATTGTGTTGGAGCATGGATAAAAAGGGAGTAACACATGACATGTGGAAGTGGGAACAAGTTAAAAGGGAAACAGGATGAGCTTTATTCTAACACTAATTGAACCAGCAGCTTAACAAATCTGAAAGACAACTCGGGCTTCAGAGGTGCTGCCTGATGTCGTGTCAGGGGTGTGTATTGTCATTTTGTTCAGTGGGAAATCATTTTAATTACGGCTCATGCAAGCCCTGGCACAGCCATCCCTCCTGTAACACAATTCCCAGCAGACGGGTGACGATAGCGAAAGTTACTGTAGCCCATTGTGCTCTGTAATACCCAGCGTAGTTACCTGGATGTGTCCCCGAAAACTTAGTTCCTCAGGCTGCGGAATTTGCCCTCCTGTCTCACCGCCTGGGCAGTGCTGCCGTGCAGGATGTTACAGCTAAGACAAGGCATCGTCTTCCAAAATGATTCCGTCACACCTGCAGCAGTTCAGGAGGTTTAGGAGGCCCTGCTCCAGAGTTGTTATCATTCTTCCATCTGTTTGCAGTTAATTTCCTCTATGGAGAAGGTGATAAATTCTGGCATTCAGATAATTATTTCCTTTCTTTTGTTTTTTTAACAGCTTCGGTTTTCACCTGCTTAGCAATAGCACTGGGATTTTACAGGTTCTGGAAGTAGATGTCAGTGGAATGACTACATCAAGTACAGGTGGAGGAAAGGCCACCCAGGCAACATCAGCTGGACTATCATGTTTGCGCTGTACATAACTTTGGTACCTGTTTGTTTCGATGTTCTTACTGTGCACTAAAAACATTATCTGAATACGTAACACTAAAAATCGAAAGAATTGGAGAGGAAGTAAGCAAGTAGTAGTACTTCATTGTGCCCCGTTGGATACTGGATTTATTTCAAAAGACTTCTTATGCTGAATCAGAAAGTCTTTCCTAATGTGTTTTAGAATTAATTGTGTTTTCTTTTGGAGTTTTCTCACCGAAACATTCTCACTCTCAGCTCTTCCAAAAATGGAAATATTAAACATTTGATATGCCCTTGAAATGGGCAGTTCCCAAGTTTCTCAATATTCTCATATTGAGAATACTAATGCCAGATTCCAACAGATCTGCTCTGATCCAAGGAAATTCATCTTAAATATAGGATCTGGATTTTTGCCTTCATTCTGTTCCTCTTTTTTTCTGATGGATTCAAGCCTGGCCCTTTGGGCATTTGTATTTATATATAAACACACACTCCAAGGCCTTTACTAAAGAATCCTTGTTTTTCTTCAAAATTGGTTTATATAAATTTAAAATCTCGTGTAGAGCTAAAATGTCTCCACAGTTTTGGGGTTTTTTTTTAGTATCTCTTGCAATTTCCCAACCTCAGAGGTCAATGGAATGGGAGAACTTCTCTGTCTTTGTCTTTCCAAGGGGAAATGCCTCCACTCTCAGCAACTCTACAGCCCTGGGGCAGACAAGTGCTCTTAACTCCTTCCTTCAAGTAGCGCAGAGTATTTCCAGTAAACCCTCATGTATTTTCTGGGCATAGGATCTGGCTTGTAACATGGAAACACTCAGCATCTCAGTGGTGCCAGTGGAGGTGGTGGTTGTCGTCTTCCCACCTGTTCTGTAATCCTGTGGGACATGCCGACTCCCCTGACTTCTGCTGGTGATCCCTCCACCTTCTGCAAGGCCTGCACAACTCTTGTTGCAGAGATGGGACATCACAGGTGGATGCCTTACAAAATGGAAGCAGTTACACCTTCTGGAGTACAAATGCATATGCTTAGTTTGATTCTTTTAGTAAAATAATAATTAAAAAAAAAAATCCTTTCTGGATTAAACTTTTAAGAGTAGGCCCTTTATGGGCTAAGGAGTATGTAGTATGATGCGTGGCATTTTTTTAATTGCAGTTTTATGGTCAATTCTTATATTCTGTGCATTAAATTATTTATCATCTTCATTTAAGAAAATAAAATTAATTTCTTATGTTTGCTACCTGACTATCTGGGATAATTGAATACAGACTACCAGACTGAAAATGTGACATTTACAGCAGGCACAGTGCTGTTACTCTGGGAGTTGAGGCTGCTCGTTCTGTTGTCTGTGTGCTTGTCAAAGAGGTGTTGGCAGCGAGGATCTCGGCAGGTGGCAGGCAGCCACCTGTGTCTGTTGTAAGTGCTGCGTGTGCAAATCCATCTTCTTGTAAGCTGTAACAATTTCTGAGGTTCTCTGAAGCATAGAGTTATTTAGGTTGGAAGAGTCCATGAAGACCATCAAGTCCAACCATTAACCTAACACTGCCTAGTCCACCTCTAAACCATGTCCCTAAGCACCACATCTACACATCTTTTACACACCTCCAGGGATGGTGACTCAACCACTTCCCTGGGCAGCCTGTTCCAGTGCTTGACGACCCTTTCGGTGAAGAAATTTTTCCTAATAGCCCATCTAAACCTCTCCTGGTGCAACATGAGGATGTTTCCTCTCGTACTGTCCCTTGCTGCCTGGGAAAAGAGACCGATATCCAGCTGCAGCCTCCTTTCAGGTAGCTGTAGAGAGCAATAAGGTCTCCCCTCAGCCTCCTCCTCCAGGCTAAATGACCTCAGTTCCCTCAGCTGCTCCTCATAAGCCTTGTGCTCCAGATCCTTCACCAGCTTCACTGCCCTCCTTTGGATGTGGAATGACTCAGGGTGATCTTTGGCATTGTTGCTACATGAGAGTTTAGTACCAATGGTGATGTAGGAAGTAGCTCATCTACTGCACCTTTTCACCACCACCAACCCCTACCTACTGAAGTGGGCTTCAGAGTCTGAATTTCTCCTCTTTAACACAAGGCTTACGCTGTTACTCGGGGTGCCTCTCAGTCTGTGCACGCAAAAACAAGTTGATTTTTTTCTTCAGTACCTTTGAAATTCTCAGAGAGTGAGTCTCCTGTGGTAACTAGAGGACAGATCAGGGCTCAAGAACTAGCAAATTAGCCTTATAGTGCCAGGATTTCTTACTGAAATCAAAACCCAAAATACGCTCGATGAGGGCTTTACAGAGAAAAGAAATTCACAATAGCACACAGATGAGAGAAAAATCTTTATACGTGTGGTCATGAAATGTGTTTTAGGCATGGAGGCTTGTTGTTCCTGATCCCAGTGTGCCTCCTAACAGTGAATCCTGCAGCCCTGAGTTACTCAGACGCCTTCCGCTGCAGTTCCTCTGGCACCTCATGAAAGGAACGTTTTCCTGGCTTGTTTAGAAATGACTTGAAAATGGAAAGTGAGGGGCCTGGCATCTGTCTGCAGCTGAGCAAGTGCTTCTCCCAGATACTGCACTGTGGTTCCACACTGAAGGTCCTAGTTGATTATTTTAGGAGGTAAGGTGCTTTTTTATTAATACTATTATTATTTTTGAAGGCAGAAGTACAAAACAGATGGGGATACTTTTCTCAGACCTAGTAGGACCTATGACATTGCTGTAGTTAACTCCTGAAATTTCACCTTGTAATTTGCAACGCTGTTGCTAAACTACCACCTGGATAGAAAGAGAAGTTGTACTATTTTTTTTTCAAATAAAAATGCTGCTGCTGTGATGTGAAAATATTTTCTATCCCAGAGAGCTAAAGAAACAGTTCAGTGAAATTCAGTGAACCACAACTCATCTGTGGAGCTGGGCTGCATTCTCTAGAATATGGCCGTTCCACCTCAGTCTGCCTGCCCCTCATCGGAGACTTGTTCCTCACCGCAGCCTCACAAACACTCCTCCAGGGCTGCAGGCTGGTTTCTTCTTGACTTTCTTCTTTTCTTTGCAAGACTTGGAGATGGTCTCAGCCTCCTGAAAACAAAGGACATCACAGCCATTAAATAGCAATCACTTAAACCTGCTACCTTCTAAGACAGGATTTAAAAATGTATGGCTTTGAGTAGCCACAGAATATTGTGTTCAAACCGAACCTGAGGGCAGAGTGTAGTCCCAGGGCATGGGATGATAGAGCAGGGTCAGATTTCATGGAATCATAGCACGGTTTGGGTTGGAAGGGACCTTAGAGATCATCTAGTTCCAACCCCCCTGCCATGGGCAGGGACACCCTCCACTACACCAGGTTGCCCAAAGCCTCATCCAACCTGGCCTTGAACACTTCCAAAGACAGGGTACCCACAACTTCTCTGGGCAACCTGTCCCAGTGTTTCACCACCTTCACTGTAAAAAATTGCGTCCACTCCTGCATGACTGCCCTAACAATCTGCTTATAAAGCTGTTTTCTCTTACTCACTCCCTCTGGACCAGTGAATACTGAATGACAGTGGTCACACTGGAAGCAGGGTAATGAGTATGGGTCCATCTCAGAAGAGCTGACATCGTGCTGGTTAGAGCATCCCCCTGGGATGGGTCTTCTGGGCTCCTCAAGGCAGAGGAAGGAGCTATATCCGAGTTGCCCACATTATCAGTGACTGGAGTCCTCACCTAATTACAATGGGGCCCTACAAACAGTTACACAGTCAAGGTGGTGCAATGGTCGAAGTTCAGCGAAGTACCAAGAACAGCAGGGCCATGAGCCTTTTCCACCAGCTGTACTCTTGGAAGAACCTGCAATGGGTTCCCACAAGCCATAGCAGGAGGAATTCAGCTGCCTCACCCAAGGCTGCTGATGGACTGGATGGCAAAGATCTGAAAAACGGGGTCTCGACTGTCGTGTCAGTTTGTGGGAGTTACATAGCAGAGAAAGGTCCGAAATGCCAGCGGTCTTGTCCCCAAAGCTGGCATGAGAACTTCTGCTCTATCCTTAAGATTTGATTTTTTAAAAAGCTACAGTTTTTCTGTCTTTGCCTGCTAAGCCAATCGACAGTCCATATCTGCATCTTCTTTGTGGTCAGCAGGGTTGATAATGAAGATGATAGCAGATGACACGCAGGAACACTCACTGAAATCAGGCACTGCACACAGCAACACAGTACAGTACTACAGTACTCCACCAACTCACTTCCCAGTCTAACGGAAAAGGGAGGAAAACAAACCAGTTCTGAAGCAAAAGAAACATCCTACAACATGTGCTGCAATTGCTACAAACCATGACAGGTGGGGGTCAGGGGCTGACACCTGATTTAAGCAGCCAGAAAGGCAGCCTGGTCAGGAGGGGAAAATTACTGAATAGAAGAAACTGCCAGCTGAAAAACACTGGCAAAGGAAATGTCTGCCAGCCTGGGAACTGTGAGTTTGGGAACCAGAAACACCCTCAAAAAGTACACTTGGGTTCTTTGAAGAACAGCTGTGGCACCTAGAAATCAGAGGCATCCTGAGACACCACCGATGAGCGCAAAAACAAGGGGCTGTAAAGGCAACTTATTGTCTGAAAAGGTGGAAAATAGTCTAGAAAAATAAAAGAATGGTCTGAAAGAACAGAAAGCTCATCATCTTCACCTGGCTGTTACAGGTGAAAAGTAGAAAATTAGAAACGTCAGCATCCTGTTGGCTGCTTGCACTGGTGGTGTCCGCCGCCCTCTTATGTCTCTATGATATAAAAAGGGTTAATTTTTAACCCAAAATGCAGCCTCTCTCTCTGGGAATTTTCCATGCCTTTCCCTTTCCTTTCTTAAACAGGCTGAATTCTCCACACAAACTTTCTACAAGATGGTGGACTCTCACCAGGGACGCCTCGCTGATGCCAGCCTCTGTGATGCAGATGGTCTTTGAATTGAGACCGACTCGGGGCCCACTTTTGGGGTTCAGTTTGTCCTCCCTTCTTCTGGGGATGGTTCGATCCCCCTCTAGGATTAGTGTGAACTTCCCTCTGGGATGGTTTGGCCCCTTCTGAAATCTAATTCACTTCATACGGATGTTGCAGATCCTTATAGGTGATCAGTCACAAGTCCATCAGCGGTTGGTTAGTTTGCTTCACTCATGCTAAGTTTGTAGTAAGCTGTCATAGTACATACCTACTTGGTTACTGCTGTACTACTGATTGTTGCACACGATTATTGCCATACTATTGATTGTTGCATATTGATACTCACTTTATTAATCACAGATGTACTTACTAGTGGTGATTTTGCCGTAGTAGACTTGCTGGTGGTGATTTTTGTGGTACTTGTGGTACTCTGTAACAAAGTAGAGAAATTTAGAGGACGAAAGCCTCTGTGTCCTTGAGTGTTACAGCACCCTACAAACCCACAGGCTGGGTAACCCTCGAGGTCCTGACAACACCCCTCCTGAAGTACCAGTCCATCTCAGATATCAGCTACCAGCCAAGATGAACTGTCAGTCACGGCATGTGGAGCGTGGAGGCACCCAGGGATCAGCCCACTCTCTTTTGTTAACATGAAGATGAAGAGTATCAGTGCTCCTCTGCCAGGGGACAAAGGGAAACCAATGTCCTTTCACAGCAGAGACACTGTCAGGATGCGACAAAGGCTCATTCCAGTGTCCCAAGCTAAAAGCTGCTAGCACATTTACTCCAAGCATTTCAAGGGCCTACAGGAAAGCTGGAGAGGGACTTTTTACAAGGGTGTGTAGTGATAGGACAAGGGGCAATGGACTTAAATTGAAAGAGGGTAGAGTTTGATCAGATAAAAGAAAGAAATTTTTTACATTGAGGGTAGTGAGGCACTGGAACAGGTTGCCTAGAGAAATTGTTGATGCCCCATCCCTGGAAGTGTTCAAGGCCAGGTTGGATGAGGCTTTGAGCAACCTGGTCTAGGGGAAGGTGTCCCTGCCCATGGCAGGGGGGTTGGAACTAGATGATCTTTAAGGTCCTTTCCAACCTAAACCATTCTATGATTTCCTAGCACCATGCCTGGGAATCTTAGGGAGAACAAACACGCACAAGCAATAGGTGGCTGCCTCTGTCCTCCACGTTGGGGGAGTTCACGTGGCACTCACCACAGGGAGAGCAGGGGGGACACGGGTTTTCTCCAGGCTCTCTCTAAGGTGGCTTATCTCAGCACGGTAGCCATCCAGCTGGCTCTCCAGCTTCTCCCGCCTGACTCGCTCGTATTCCAGCTGGGCCTCCAGCTCCTTCACAGCCCTGCCAAAAGCCAAGGAGACAAGCTGAGCATGAAGCCAGTGGCACCTGGCTACTCCTCGTGGTCCTGGGCCTTTGCTAAGGAACAGGTTAGTCACAGCAGAAAGCAGTGCAGTACCCCCCACCGCAGCGTGCTCTTGGCTCAAGACCCATTGTCTCAGCTCCGAAAAGCCGATTGTCCTTCTTTGCTCAGCGCACTCTGACCACCAGATGGAGCCGCCTTCCCACGCACCGAGCCCGACACCAGGGCCATCTAGCTGCGGAGGAGGGAGAAGTGCCCAGAAGCAAAAAAGATTAGTATGAAACGGTGAAAAAGCGTAAAACTGGGATTCTGGAGAGGTCAGGGGCAGCTTCTTCGTGTACATCTGGTGCCTCTACACCCTTTCCATCGATGGCCTTAGCCACAGGTGAGGAATACTCAAACGACAGCCTGTATGACACTTACTGAAGGGAAACTGAAGCACTGCCTGATAAACACTTGTACAAGATCTCACCGGTCACACCCACAACGGCTCCTAAATTAATTGAGATTCCTGGAACTGGTGAGCTGAGACATAATTCACATGGATTCTTATTATAACAACAACTGACCTCAGCAACGGAGTCATCTGGAGTTGAGCTGGCTCTCCTCTGTACCAGGACGAATTAGCGCAGCTACAGAGATGAAAGATTGGTAAAAGGAGAAGGGAGACGTCTGCCCTGTGGATTCCGAGAGCACGGCAGGAAAGCTCTCGGCAAAAGCTACTGCATTTCCCAAACTGCAGTATTCCTGACCCGCGCAGCCCAAGGCTACCAGGCTGCATCAGCCTCGCTGGCACTATAAGAACGGCCAGTGCTTGCCAGGGAACTCACTGCCCGGGGGCACAGGCTGACTTCTCACATGCTTCAGATGAACGGGACACAGCTCCAAAACCGTGTGCCAATTTCTTCCATGCAATGCAGCCCGGTCAAAGCACTGCATAGTGCTTCACACCAGGCCTCTCACAGCCAGAAAACCTGGACTAAAGCAGAAGTCTGCAAAACCTGCTAGAGTGGCCTTCCCAAGTGGCAAGTCCTGCTTTTCATCTAGCAAAATCATGTTGTCATTAAATATTTCCAAATAATGAGGTTTTCTGGCATATGATGCAAGCATCTTGGGATTTATCCGCAGGTGGGTGCCCTGAGAAGGGTAGGTAAGTACTCTGAGAGTCAAAGGGCGAGTGTGGAGCTAGGGATTTTTTTTTGGTCTCCACAGGTGACAGAGACCCTTCAGAGATCCTCACAATTGCTGTTTTTCTAGTTTAGCCCCGCATACCAGAGAAAGAAAAATCCCTTAAAGAGCCTTATCAGAGCCCTCTAATAGGCACTGCTGGCTTTTGAGTAGCTGCCCTACCCAAAATGAACCCTAATTTCTGCCATTAGTCAACTGTGACTTTTCCATCATTGCAAACAGATTGCTCTGACCTTCCAGTGTAAGCATCAACATCTGAGCTGGTCACTCTCCTTGAAAGCCAGGAAAGACACTCCTAGAAATTATGACTCTTGTCCTGAAGTACGTGTTTAATCATGCCCTCAAGGTGCCTACACCTCTCCAGGTCTAAAAAGGCACTCAAGGTAACTAGCTCGGAAGCAGATATCTACATTGCAGACGTATCAAGTGAAGGAAGATGGACTTTCAGCCTGGGCTGAGTCAAAGAGTGATCTGGAACCAAAAGAAACCCTGACCTCAGTTTCTGGACTCCTATACGGTCATAAAATGAACTGCTTAATTCCAATCTGTGACACCTATTACCTGCTCCAGAGCTACAGACTGGTCAGTCTGCTGTCTTACTGACGGCAGGCAAGCCCTCTGGATAGAGTCTCCTCTCAGGGACCAAATAAAGACAGTGGTCTGGGGTGGCCCAAACACACACCAGGCGTGGTTATCCAGAGAGACTGAGAATGGTTGGTAGCCAAATCTTTGACAGGTAGAGGTGGAAACAGGGCTGCATTATTATTTAAGAACTTAATCTTTGATGATTAGAAGGGTTTTTCTTTGAAACTTAGACAATGTGCCCATCAAATCACCTGACCAGTCTAACAGAACCTTTTCCTTTAATGGGGACCCTGAGAATCAGACAGACATTATGAAAAGCGCTTCACGTGCAAGGGCAGGTATGCTGAGATTTCTTTCTCCTGTCCTCTGGATATGAGCTAATGCTTTCTTGAGCATAGAAATATATTGCCCTTGACACAGAAATGTAGCAGGTCACTGAATAATTTCTCTGTATATGCACTGCCATCCAAGCCATGCCAAGGCTAATGCCATTTTTTCAGATTTATTAAAGTGCGTACATGTATTTGGCATCCTCAATGCAAACAAAACAGCCAGGACCTATTAGACCTACTGCACATACACTGCAGGAAAACCTGAAGGTTGAACAGATAATCTTGCACTTGTGTTGTGCTGTGGGGCTGATCATGGTGGCGGAAGTCTAGAAACGGTCAAATTGCTGGAGTCTGTTTCTTTTTGGCCTGGGTAAAGCTGCTAAGTGGAAAAGGCAGAATGGCCAAAACGACTCGAGTGTAAGTTGTTAAAGGCGGCTTTAAAAGGGCCCTCACAGAGTTAAACATCAGCAGAGCAAGTTAACCTTACTTCTTAAATTTCCTTTCTTCTTTTTTCATCATCTTCTCCTCCTCAGTTATTCCTCCTAGCTGTCTGTAGTTGCTGTAGGCAATTTCTAGAAGTTGCTGAAGTTCTTGAATCTTGCGATAGGCCCTTACTGTAAGACAGAGCTCTCCAGGTAGGTACAATGCATGGAGAAAACAGTCATGCTGGAATCCAATAGTCTGGAAAAAAGTCTCACAAGCACAGAGCAGAAATCACACTGCTCAGCAAACACTGAGCTACACCTGACACCCACACAGCAAACAGATCTCAAAAACAAGTAGCAATCCAATATGGTTTCACCAACCTGGATTAAAACAACGTAACAATTACGTTCTGATTGCCCTCTGCTATGCTTTCTAATTTTTCATAATTTGTTTAAATGCACAGTGCTACAGATACCCTGTCAATTATCTCATCTCACAATACAGAAGTCACAGCAGTTGGCAGAAACTGTGTAACTAGGACTATTATGAGACCAACTTTTTCAAATAAGGAGTGATGGAAAGACAGTGCTTACTGCGTGCATTCCTTTTCTCTGTTTTATCCAGGGTTAAATCTTCTTTGCTATCTGTACTCCCTTCCACACCATGTCTTTCAAAAAACTTTATGTTGTTTGCATCTAGTTCTTCATCACTAGAGTTACTGTCTCCAGTTCTTTGTGTCAAAAGTTCCGCAGCTGCCTGTTGGGAAAATCTGCAGAGAGAACAGTTAATCTGCACTGAAATATCTCCATCATCTGGAAATGCTCCCCACATATGATAGAAACTCTCTGCAACTCTTCATTTTCCCGTTTATTGTAGGGAGTTTCAGGATTAAAAGAAGCGCTGGTACACAAACTATGAGCAGCTAATCTGCTTTTTGTAGTATTCTGATGGCATGAGCTCTGCCTCAGTGAAATCTTATGACTCCCACAAGAGAGGTATCTTTTCCTTTGCAGGTTTTCTTAATTGAATATCATCAGAAACTGTATTATTTTTATTAATGCAAAAATCAGCTGGCCTTTGCTAGTTCTCATTTACTTTGTACAGCTAGAGCATGCTGGCTCACAACTTTCCTTTTGCAGACCAGCTAGTTTTCATCTTTTATGTCTGACCTTGCTAAAAAAAATAATACATTAAATTAAGTGAAAATTAAAACCTTTTATAGCTTTGATATAGCTTTGCTTATCACTCAGAGCTGGAATTGATGGGCCTGATCTGTTCTTGCTCCATCACTGAAAATCAGGATTAATTCCAACAAAGCTGACACGATCTCGATATATAAATAGTAAGTAAATAAATGACAGAGCTACAGGATATGTGCTGCTACCTCTTGGCTACATCCTTTGGAGTCTCTCCAGCATCATTGGTAATGTCACAGTCAGCTCCCATTTCAATCAACCACTGCAAGCAATGGATATGCCCCTGTCCGGCAGCTAAGGGAAGGAAGGTGCACACCAGTCAGATGTATGCAACTGAACGGTTTCAAACCTAAAACGTCCCCTCTTGTCATTATTCAACATGCCAGAGGTTGGGTTCACTAAGACACCACAGAGGAGATACTATTTCAAGGGAAGCCTATATTTAAAGATGCTCAAGTCACATGGGTACACACAATCTAGGGGAAGATCACACAATGTGGTTTTGTGACTCTTTCTAGTTCCAGAAATTTACTGACAAATGTTCCTGGATATGAGTTAAAGTTGCCCAGTCTCTCATGCTGAGCATGAGACATGCAAATAGCTGCTGCCTCACGCTGTCTTGCAGTAAGGCCTGTATGTCAGAGATCTGGAGAGGGACTTGTTAGAAGGGCATGTAGTGATAGGACAAGGGGCAATGGATTTAAACTGAAAGAGAGGAGATTTAGATTGGATATAAGGAAGAAATTTCACTCAGAGGGTGGTGAGGCACTGGAACAGGTTGCCCAGAGAAGTTGTAGATGCCCCATCCCCGGGAGTGTTCAAGGCCAGGTTGGATGAGGCTTTGGGCAACCTGGTGTAGTGGAGGGTTTTCCTGCCCATGGCAGGGGGGTTGGAACTAGATGATCTTTGAGGTCCCTTCCAACCCAAACCATTCTGTGATTCTATGATTCTATGATCTGCAGCACAGCACTGTCACCTCCCTGTGTCTTCATGCTCCCATGTATCAGACACAGCTGGTTGCCCCGATCTGTGGTGTGTGGTGCTGTCTGACGGAGGAGAGAAGCCAGGTCTTTGTGCTGGGGCTGTAGGTACGTCATTTCTTGGGCCAGACACTCAAGGCAACACTTCCCAGCTGCAGCTTAACACAACAGCTTTGCCCAGTCATATGATCTGGCGTGGCTATTGCTCATACCACACGGTGCCAGGAACAATGTCTCGCATATGGAAGATGGTATTTGGCATGTCTAGCTGAAACCTGCAGGCTGTTTTTCTCAAGGAAGAATAAATCAATTTCTTGACAGCCCCCTCTGTGGAAGTTTGCCATATTTGTTTTCTTACTGAGATAAGGAAATGAGATTACAATCAGCCATAGTATTTCCCCATAACACCAGCACTGCATGTAAAGATTGGGGATGAAACAATTGTAGGTCAGCACCACTCCAAGAAAAGAGGGTGGGAAAGAATGTAGAAAACACTTTTAAAATCAATACATATCAATTTCTATAATGAGAACTTTAATTATATTTTTAAAATTCTACCAATCATATCTACTAATGAAGAAATGTGGGAAATACAGTGTTAAAAGCATATTACAATATCTCCCTCTTTCTTTCCTCTCCTGTTCCTCCAGACATCACTCTGAAACCCTCAAACACCAGAGGACCATTTCTCTGTAATGCTAGCACTGCACTATGTATCAAGGGGTTAGATACGAGAAGCTTACCTTCCTTCACAGTGTCCTACCAAATGACTTTGCTGTGGTTTTTACAACACATCTCCACAGCACCAACATGTTCAGTAAATAAAGGCCCAGGCCACAACACAGATCACTCTTATACCTCGTTAGCCAATGTTTCTAAAAGTCACATCTCACTTCATAAAAAAAAAAATACTATTTAGTTTTCAGTTTAGATGCTGTTTTCTCTTTTAACTTTTCTTTCTCAACTTCAGCTTGCTTATTTTGTTTTAAAGTGACACCTACACACAATAAATCACAAATTATGTTGTTCAGGGTTGCCCTTTCGAGCCCTCAGGAAATGAGATGCTGTTTTTCATGAAGTTTACCTGATGAGCAGCCACTTGAAAAACTAAGTAAACAAGCCAGCAGCAAACAGGAACAAGCTGAAACACAGATCATAATTACTGACCTTTGTGCATGAGAGTGGATCCCTTATCATCCCGCTCATTAATATTGATTACTCCACTTCTCACTAATCTTCTAAGCACTAGCAAGTCCCCTTTGGAAGCAGCGCCATGAGCTGGGAAAGTCACAGCTGAAAATGAAACGCAGATGTTTCCAAACAGATGCCAGTAGTTCTAGACACACGGGCATTTGTCTCTCAGCAACTTCTGCACGGGCACTCCACAGCTGTAGTTAGCAAGGTTAATGCACTCCTAACCCGTTAAAATGCAGCTGCATAACTGGCATTGCTCATCCTGGACCTGACTTAACATGTCCTGGTTAGGAGTACAGGCGTCTCATGCAGTGAAGAGATTAATTTCATAAACCTGCAATACCTCTGTTTTACGGTTGATGTTGTATTACTGGTGTCAGCTGGAGTCATTTGCCTATTTTCAGTTCCACAATCTAACCAAATATATAAACTATTTTACTTCTTCTTGCTTAAAAACTGCCCATACAGACAATTTGATTTTTCTAGTTATTTTTATAGACGAGGAGTACTGACATCTATACCTCTATGTCGAATGAAAAAAGACTAGCAGATAAGGACAGTAAGTGCCTGGAAAAAGCAGAGGGCTGAAGGTGCAGCTCTCACATCCTTGCTCTGTTGAAGGTTCTCCCTACAGACCTTGCCACACCTGCACCCTTCGGCCGTTCTGACCGCAGTAGTATTGCTGGTTAGCAAGTAACTTTGATTTCAGTGAGACATTCCCAGGCCAAGTTGCTACTCAAGGTGAGTAAGGGATTCTGAGCAGGCAAATCTGAAAACTCAGGAAAATTTTACAGCTCATCTGCCTGTCTACTGGAATCTGAGAACATGGATAACTTGCTATGCATAGTGCAACATTGTGTGACAAGTTTTATTTCAATAATGAGTAAACCTAAGACACTTACAAAATCACGCTGAGCCATCAGTAAGTGCAGCAAGTATTGAAAGGAACGGCTCTTCCTTGCATTGTAATTTAAATGTTTTTACTTCTGCTCATGCAAGTTTCCAGAATGAAGCATTTCTATAGAATTACGATGACTATTTTAACAGTATCTTGACCCATACTCACCTTCCTGTGTCTCTGGATGCTCCTCCTCTTTTTCCACACTGTCAATATATTGCAGAACGTTATCTTTATAGAACCGCTCAGCCAAGTCCCTTGGAGTCTCTCCTTGGTCATTCCTGGCTTTCAGTGTGTGCGTGACACTGGCCATTTTACTCACCAAGAACTTAAAGCAATGCAAGTGTCCTTCCATTGCTGCCCGATGAGCTACAGCACAGGGTGAAACAAAGCACGTTAGAGCAGAGCACTGCTGCCCACCAAGAAAGCAGTCTTCTCACTGCTGTTTTCATCCAGCTCATCTACCAGCACTTGTGCCACCCAACACGGCGCAACAAGTGGGAGCAGCCTCAGCTAGACAGGGGATGCTCAGCTCCTGTCCAGGACTGAGTTCAGCTCTATCAGAGGAGATAAAAGAGTCTAGGAGAGGATCTGCAAAGGAGATTCCGTGGCAGAGCTGATTGCAGACAACAACACAACACTACCAAGAGACCACAGAGCGCCAGCCAGGAGAGCACGCCGCTGGGGTCTCATCTTCCCCACGGACAAAAATCTCCCTCCTCAGCAGCTGTCTGACGTCACTGTCCTAGGGATGCTCATCACAGAGGGCCAGCAAGGGGTGCCCTTGATTAGGAGTTAATGCCATTTCTGCTTTAGTCCCACCGCTACTGTGCCCCCACGAACAAGTTGCATCACACGCTCAGTTACCCCACCTATAAAACGAGGACAGGGACATTCACTTTACTGGATAAAGTATTTGAAGGCACATCCCATGACAGAGGCTTCTATTCACACTGCTTCCAATATAAATGTTTTTCCTTCAACTGTTGTAGGCAGTTGCTGCCCACAGGAGCTGCTCCACCTCACCACAGCAGTGACTACTTCCCTGTGGGGGTCAAGTGTTTCCTCCCCTGTCCTTTAGGCTATGCTGAGGATTAGTTAATTAACACTAGACTGCTAGGCCTACAACAAAGTAAGAGGTACAAAACACATGCTCATTATTTTGAAATTATTAGTATTCTCTAGTCCTTTTAAAGGGAAAAAGTTGCCAAATAAATGCTTATTATGTGTTATCACTCCATGAAAATGCTCTGTAAAAGCTGGCTGATGTTCTAAAGGCAAAAGGATTACTTTGTCTCCATGTAAGAATCGCATCATCTTCATAGTTAATAAACAATGTACCCAGGACCAAAAAAAAAAAAAAGTCATTTAAGTTAATTTTGGCTGGAAAGTTCTCTATTGCAAACCATCCACAGCTTTCCAGAGCGTCACTGTTCTAAAAGATGGTGGATTTCGTTTTATGGCAAGACGACGATACTTAGGTACACGTGATTGCTAAAATTAAACATGATAAAATCTGAGCTTCACTAAAATCAGGGCAGTTTTTCCAATTGTCTTAATTATATTCAGTGAGTTACTTACCCAGGGAGAAGTGAAAAGAAGAGGTACCTTCTTAAAAGTAGGTACTGATTACTAGTCACTTGGTGAAAAATTGACTCAGCCCTTACGAAGCCACTTTCAGACACCAGGAATCTCAGGGATAAAACTTCACCTTTTGGGATGAAACTTTTTTTTTTTTAATCAGATGTCTGCCCTTTGCAGAAAATGGTGAGAAAAACTCGACGTTTTCTGCAGCAAAGATGGCAAGGTGAAAACAGATTAAACAGTTGTATTCTGTCCGTGTCTTCTTGCACAGTTTCAGTGGGATGCTGTGCAAGACACGTACAGGAACTTTTCAAAGGTGGTTTTTAACCTGTGTGTTTCGTAGCAGGTAGTGCCCAACACATAACTGTGCCATACAGTACTGTGATGTTAACACAAAACATACAGCTTAATGCTGAGAACTTTGAAAAACCTTCTCTCGGGCATCACAAACGGGCAGCGGGTAGTTGGTGTTGGTATCGCAACTCCTCTGTGTTCCATCTCACCTTTTGTAGAAATCAGGCTAGCACTACTCACCCTTCTCCCAGTGGTGAGTGAAAAAATAGTGTCTTTGAAAAATTCAGATGTCACACTTTGATTAAATTAATATTATATTGAGAACAGGTTTAACTAGCGAGCAAAAAATGAAACACAAATATGGCCAAAAACCAAATACAGAGAGAAAACAAAATGTTGAATTAATGAGCGCAGCCCATTCTGTGCACTGAATGAGCCACAGTTCTTCCCCAAAATTAGTATGCTATAGGTAATTAAAACTTCTACTGTAACACACACACACGGAAAAAGTGCAGCTAAGTTCTAGATGGATGGCACTGCAACCTCGATAAATTTCTTTCAGTATACTGTTAAGAAAAATTATATCGCTGTCCAGCTAATCTTGAAGTTGAAATATGTAAAGATGATTTAAGGTCACTTCGCTGTTTCAGAAGCTCAGGAAAAGCTGGTCTGTACATCACACCACTTTATTAATCTTTCACTAGCAACATTCCAAAGTGTTTTCTTTCTTTTGGATGATAATATGATCAAATAAAACAGAAAAAAGGCTGGAGGATCAAGCCTCTGTAGGTGTCAAAATAACAACAGAACAAATTTTCTACTAACCAGTATATACAGAGCATTTAAGTAGAACTGTGCTGGCATTTGCCACCTCTCCAGAAAAGTCTATTATCAGGGAAGTGTTCCCAAATGCAAATTAAGCTACCTTCTACACTGCCACCAGGGTGCCTAACATCATGACCCCTTATTGCTAACACACCAGATCTCCTGCGGGGATGCAAGAGCCTCACGTCCTTTAACAAGACCCAGGTTTGCAAAACAGAACACAGATATCAGTTTACCAGGTAAGTGGTGCTTAACAAGAGGGCAAAAGACCTTATGAAAGGGAACTCTAAAGTTATAGAGAAAAAAATACGCTATTTGGAACAAATAATGTGACAAACCATAAGAAAGAAAATGCTAAAAGGGAAAGGATGCAATGAGAACACAGGGTACGAACAATACCATTCAACTTACAGAGGATGTTGAGGGCAATGGTGTGGTAGGCAGAGGGACACTGGAGAAGCTACGAAGAGCAAGGAACAAACACTGCCTGCTTTTTTGTGCTACAGAGACTACACTCACGATTCTGAAAAGAGTACAGATTACAGACAATACGGAATACCGGTATTCCAGAAATCGAGATGAAGAAATCACAGGTAAATGAGAACAAGGGGGTTGGCAAATCAGTTAAGAAATAGTGGGATACAAAAATCTGCCTATGAACCTGTCAGAATCTGATCACACGGGCATAGCCTGGCACAAATCCAAAAAGGAGCACAGAGCAGCTGAAACAGCCTCCTGCTCCACCTGTCCTTCTCCCTGTGACTGGCACATGCGCTCCATCACACGCACAGGAGGTGCTGCCCACCTACACAGTGCTCCCAGCTAGGCTCAGCCTGCTCCCTATTCCAGCACCCATAAGCTCTGATCCTTGCCGGCAGCACCAGGAGGTCAACAGGATCCCGTCACCGACAAATTTATAAATAAATTTATAAATTCCCCCATCGTTATAAAAATGGCATCACCATGTTGATTGCATGGAATCAAACAGCAAATGCTGCTGGTGTGCACTAATTACTTAGAATTTTCTATAATTATCATATCACACAACTGTAAACCAAAGGTTAAAAAAATGTATGATTTATCCCGATGTACCTGGAAGGTTTCCATTGTTATCCACATCATCTACACACGCTCCCCATCTAACCAGAAGCTGTAAACACCCCAAGCGACCATGGAAAGCAGCATAATGAACAGGCTTCCAGTCGTTCCTGTCTGAAACATCTACGTTCTAAAAGGAAAGCAGCAGGTGAATTCCTTCATTTATGAATCTTAGACACAAAGCAAATTTTGTAAGCAGGAATCAGCTGTTCATTGTGTTAAATTACTGAAATCAAACCAAACACCTTTCTGTCATTTGCCCTGTATGCAGTTCCCATTTCAAGACAGGTACTTTTCACAGGTTCTCAGTTTTATTTAAATAATACACACATAAAAGGTGTATTTTTAGACATACTTCTATCACTGCATTGGTCACTGTTCCTCAAATATGCATCTGTATTTTTTTTTTTTAAAGTTTACGTCTCTTTTACTATAAGATTTGTACAATTGCAAAAAATCACAGCTGCCTGACCTTCATTTAATGACTTTCTCAGTGGAATGTGGGTTACTCACATTGTTGATTCTCTAGATTTTTGGATCATTTCCCTTATGTATCTTACAATTAAAAACCATGGAAACTCACCAACAAGACCATACCAGCAGTAATTAAGCTACAGTCCTAAATGTCAGTTTAATCTAGGGAGACTTCTGTGTGCAAAAAGATGGCAGACTTTGGCTCTGCGCTAGGGAAGCGCGCGTGAAAGTCTCTCACCGCTCCGCTCCGCAGGATGGTCTGTAGGGTGTAAGACTGCCCGTGGGCTGCGGCCAAGTGGGACGGAGTGCAGCCACCGTCATCCCGAGCTTCCGCGTTTGCGCCGTTGGTTAGCAAAGCCTAAAAGAAACGCAAAGCAGTTGACAAACCGAAAAAGCAAACCTTGCCTAGTGGGATGACGGGAGATGATCAGCAGGATAACTCTGGGCTGACCTCAAGGCAATGACACTTCATAAAATAAATCTGTTTGTACAGACAGTGCAAATGAGTGCACTGGTTTTTGCAAGAGTGACTTGATTCCAGATGTAAAGACACCAAGATGAGATACTCAAGCTCCGTAAGGAGCTCTCTTGTTCAAACTGAAGGTCTGCCCTACTCACTTTCACTTGAGAGTGAGGGACTTTTTCCAAGGGTGTGTAGTGATAGGACAAGGGGCAATGGCTTTAAACTGAAAGAGGGGAGATATAGATTGGATCTAAGGAAGAAATTTTTCACAATGAGGGTGGTGAGGCACTGGAACAGGTTGCCCAGAGAAGCTGTGGATGCTCCACCCCTGGAAGTGTTCAAGGTCAGGTTGGATGAGGCTTTGGGCAACCTGGTGTAGTGGAGAGTTTCCCTGCCCATGGCAGGGGGGTTGGAACTAGATGATCTTTGAGGTCCCTTCCAACCCAAACCATTCCATGATTCTATGATTCTGTGATTTATGCCTACCTGCATGCAGGCGTCCTGGCCACGGATAGCCGCGAGGTGAGCTGCTGTCCAGCCTCTGACAGTCACGCGTGTCGTATCGGCTCCATGCCAGAGCAACCAGTGAAGGCACTGCTCAACCAAAACCACAGCTGTTTATTTAACTAGTCTTACCATGCATCTGAGGCACATTTCAACTGTACTTTATCAGTTGACGTTACATTTCCAAACAGCATCGGAATACTTCCTTATGGAAATATGACACCCCAGAGCAGACCAGGTACGTGTGCGTTAGGAAGTTACAGGTAAGTTACACTTTCCAGGTTTCACCCAAGGGTACAAAAAGGGCAAATAACCTAATTCAGACCCTAGCATTGATTTTACAGCACAGTTTCTTAATTTTACTCTTCCAGATTTAAAATGTAATCTGTGAGAGTATTCACGTGGCAGGAGGTAAAAGCACTGGAAAAAAACAATGCAAACACGCTCACTTGAATTCCAGCTAAAATCACTGGCAGAAAAAATACCATCAACCAAATTTAAAGCCTCATTTAATTTATTAGGCTCCTTAAGTGTATGCAATCCCACCTCTCTCCTCATCTTTCCACAGCTTAGTTTTGCTTATTCACTTTTTTCAAGCAGATATTACTGCTTGCAATGGAAAGCTTAATGGACTATTCAAAACCAGCTGGAGGACCAGTTAAAACTTTTTATTACATATTATTATGATTTATTATCTTCTGTTAGGCCAGCCTCTGGTTCCTCCACCTTTTCCATGAAGGAGCTTAACAACGAATAGATGACAGATAATTCAATAAAGTCTAATACATTGATGGCAAAGGAGGAGATTCAAATAAAAAATAGTAGAATTTATAGAGGCAAAAAAGGGTGGGTAAGCAATCTGTTTTTTTGAGTTGACAACATGATGAGCAGCATTTTCTTGACAGTTTCTGTACGTTTCAGTAACAGCACTGCACTTATTATTTCTTGAGTTTAGCAAGATCTTTACATTCTTTCCTTTGGGACATGAATTTACATGGTTATTCATGGTCTTGTTGCTTCAAGGTTAGATTGCTACAAATATTGTACAAGGAGGCTGCAACGAGGTGAACGTTGTGCTGAATACAGCAGCTCAGTCCTCCTGGAAGCTCAAAACCTTCATGCAAGCACCTGCTGACTTCTCTGTCAATATCAAACAGTTTTATTCATTAAAACAAAATGTATTAGGGCTATTTCTATAGAGAAGGAGGCATGGGACAGGACGTTCCTAAACAGAACGAACACGTTCTCATATCACTTCTCACCTGTTTCAATCACCTGCAGAGCAGTTTACATATCTTACAGGATTTTCCAGGTGTCCCAAGAGAAGGGAAAAACACAATAGGGACAAAAGAAGGTCATGAGTCTGGAAGGGAGACCATAGGGCACACTTTGCTCAGAGTAAGAAAATCACTGATTTTGTAAAATCTGGCAACATTGACTGTATAAACTGCCTGGGGCTTCAGAAGGGCAAAATAAAAACCTAAACTCCTGTACTTCTGCTCTTGGTGAATGCAAAAAAAAACCCAAAAAACCCACCACAAAGAAAACCCAACAAAACACAAAAACAGGCAGAGATTATTGATTTAGCCAGATCAAAGCTAACAATTTTGTGCCCACCTTCTCCCAAAGAAGGAAAACACGAACCTGTAAAAACCTTGCTGTGTTTGAACACTAACACAATGTTTTACCTCCAGACTTCCAGAGTGTGCGGCACAGTGCAACGGTGTGAATTTGTGGACTAAATCCACCTCATTAATACCGGCTCCACTTGCTATCATTGACGCAAGCTGTTCTACATCACAAGCTTTCACAGCCTCATGTACACTACTATAATTTTGCTTCTTCTTGACAGCTAGTGAGGAAAAATAAAAGGGCATTAGTCAGTTCAGCAACATTTAAGTGATAAAAAATAAGTGACGAATCAAAGAAACATCAGGCTGTCAGCTTCACGGGAACCCACCAAAATGTTCAGAGTCACCTATGAGATTGAGATCAGTATCATCAGGAATCCCAAGTCACCTGTTCTGTTTGTCAGAAACAGAGCAATATGCAAAAACCTGGGACAGCCATGCCCCCTGCAGCCCCAGGAACGGGCCCAAAAGAGTAAGATCCAGAAGGAAGATGACAAGAAGCACAGCAAGAGCAGAAAGCAGAGCTAGTCCCTCTACGTATACAAATGTTAGAGCAGGTCCACCCCAACACGGGCTCTCTTCTGAAACTGTAGGCATTGCAAACTCGTTTATTAATCGTATTTTCAAGTACGACGCCAGGCAGGCTTTGCACTTGGGCAAACAAGCTCTCAGCCACCACTTCCCAGGTGCTCCACGTGGCCACGCTCCTGCTGCTGCAGCCTAAGGCCTTGGCACAGCACTGCATATCACACTGGAGGGCACCAGAGCCTTCCTGAGTGAGCACAGCATGTAATTGCTCTTGACTGAGCAACACGGATCGGCTTCAGGACAAGCTGATGCCAAAATTAAAGCTGCTGTAGAAAAACAGTTCTATATACATCATGTTAGTAATCCTGCAGTGCTCTCTGGCTAGAACTACAGCAGTGCTCTGTCACAGTTCACTGCTAGCAGCCTGGTATTTTGCTCCCACCAAAGTCAGTAGCATTTTCTTTGACTTCAGTAGCACAGAATTGAACTCTCTATGTAGAAGAAGCAGGGTCAAAAAAAAAAAAAAAATCATCACCAGACTGTGGGATCAAATAACCTGTCTTCTCCTTTGGGCCTTTCCACCAATTAATTACGTGACTGGAAACAATGGGGGTCACATATCCAAACCCTTTTGCAACATCTTGATTATCTTGCCAAAACTTGTGAGCAGAAATACATGATGTAAGTAGATCTAATGGCTGAGGGGAGTAACGTCATATAGCCAAGCATAAGAGGAACCTAAAACAATCAGTAATCACCTTCTGGAGTAGTCATCATTCCAGTACCAAAATGCACTAATTCTGATAAGATTTCACACTGTTCAAAGTCTTGAAGAGGTGGGCTGCAGTTTTGCAAGTGAAGCCAGCATGGAAATGTAGGTCTTAAGGTATTAGTGCCACAGCTTCTCCGCCTGTGAAGAAATGGCAGTAGTAATTAAAATTGTTATGCAATCTGAGATAAAAAATATTAAAGAATATAAATGAGATCTCGCACGAACATGTTTGTGATATATGTAAAAAAGCACTAAATACGTTTAAAAACAGTCTTTGCCGTTTACCAGTGCCTATTTTCATGTAATCTGAAGCATGACAGTAGTGCTCAGGCAGATCTGGGGTTGCCACAGAGAGGAAAAGAGGGCTGAAGCTGTTTCAGTAATCACAGCTGACAGTAACACACCCTACGCTGTAACACACCACTTGATCTTGTGGCTGTGTATGGCTCCACTTCCACCTCCCCCAGCTCAGCAGGATGGATCGCTGCCCCGCACAACGCTGCTTCCGTTAGCAACCAGGACTCCATCCTGCAAAACGAACCAACAGCAGCAGCATAGACACACAGAACAACTCCATTTGGAAGGGACCTCGGGAGATCACCTAATTCATGTTTCCAAAGGATATTTAAGTATGTTTTGTGGTCTGAGTTGGTTTTTTTGAAGAGAGAGCATCACCAGGACACAATTTTCCCACAAGGGAGCCATTTCTCATTATGCCGAGTGAGGGTTACGGCCTTCAGCACAGTTACACAAACTTACATCAGAGGAAGATCTGGCCACCTAAGAGAAGATCTGGCCAATTACACTACTTGCCAAAGCAGGAACGTGTTTAACACAACATTCCAGTGCAGCGAGTTCAAGGTAATTCTTTCTTTTTTTTTTTTATCCAGAAGAAAAGCAAACAGCAATGCCCACCAGCAGAGTGAATTTTGTCTCTCTTCTCCCTCTGGAGACCTATAACTGTACGGAGACCAACGCCAAGCACTGCTGCACAGCTTCCTGGTGCAGGCCACCACCAACAGCTGCCCTGGGACTGAAGTTCAGTAAACAGCTGTTGGCACGAATTCTGTGCAAAACATGTTGATTTTGAAAGTGAAGGATGGTTTCTGTAACATTAAGGGGTTTCGGTTTGTTTGTTTGTTTTTTTTAATCAAAACTGTTACCAAAGGCTCGTTGGACATCCTAAGAGAAAATTCCTTTGTAAAAAGAATTAAGTTAAGTATTTTGAGATGAGTACCTGCCCAAAATTCATTAAAGAAATTAAGTGAAGAAGAATATGGGGGGAAAAGAGAATTTTTAGGTTTTCCAATATTTCTGTACACAAACAACAACAACAA